AATAAAATTGTACACAATCCTTTGCACACAACAGTTCCCCCTACACCTGGGGGCATGAGGGTATTAAACATAGGGAGTGGTTGACGTACGACCGGCCCAAGTTTGGCCTTGGAGCCTGCGAGCCTTGTCGAAAATCACACTCAAGGTGATAATCGGTTACTCTAGCCCGAAATACTGCGACAGACCTTAGAGTTTGCTAGGTGACGGCGACAAAGATACTGGATCCCTATAATGGGGGCACCTTGGGGGCCTTAAGACCAGTGAGATTAGAACCGTCCTATACAATGCACTTTTCTTACAGGGACCACAGACCAAGAATTTGAATACAATCGTTCGTGGGTGTATATTGATTGAGCATGTGTGTGTGCATTTGTTTGTATTATTTCTTCTAATAAGAGTGGATTGGAATTTTAAAATAAGCAAATAAATAATAATAATAAAATTTTATACCCCTTTGTTCATTTTTAGGTCAGCATTCCATTAACATCATATAGGTAGTTTCCTTTTTGTAAAAAAAAAAATCAATAAAAGAAATCTCATCTTTACCATGCATCATTCTCCTTTAGATAATAAGAACATGATAAAGATTAGGCAAAAAAAATGACATGCATTCTAGATTAGCTACTTAATTTCATTCATTTTATTTTATTAGCTAAGGAGGATTAGGTTGTCGTATGTATAGAAAGTTAAGGAAAGTGAATGCTCTAATATACAACAGTATCTGCGCTTTAAAGAAAAACCTAAATCATCTTTAAAATATTATGTTTTGGCCCTTGCTTTGATATGTTTGTTAAAGTAAGTCTTCTTAGAATCTAATATAGATTCTCGCTCAATACTGTCAAAATCTATTTGAGCATTCACAGATAAACAAATCAATGAGACTGATATTTATTATTCTCAACTTTCTCTACATTCTACATTACATTCATTTAGAGCATATCCTTCCTTGTAAAAGAATAAATGAGAATAAAAAGGGATATTAACTTATGTGCGTTAGTCGGAAGTAATGGAAGCAAACCATGCATAAAGACTTTAGGGTAAATCATCAAGACGCCAACTTTTTCCCTAAGAGGACAAAGCCGTGTCGTGCACCTCTTGGATTCCTTGGCCTTGGCCATAGTCTATCAATACGGCAGCAAAGAGAAGCCGATGCCCGAGAGCTGGCCGAGCTGCGGCGACAAAACGCTGAGCTTCGGAACTTGAACCAGACCTACGTGCCATCGACCCCTACGGCCGCGGAAGAGTCGGCCAATCATGCCCCTACTGACCAGATTACCCGGGCTCCGACGACTTCTTTGATAGGCAACAAGGCCGACACGACGGTCCACTCCCTAAGGCACCCCTTTTCTCGAAGAATCATGGAAACTATCTTGACGGATCATTGGAAGAACCTTCCAATTGAGAAGTACGACGGGTCCACCGACCCCGATGAACACCTGAACGTCTTTTTGACACAAGCAACCCTGTCCACTCAAGATGACTCAGCCCTATGCCGAATATTCCCCACTTCACTAAAAGGAAGGGCCCTAAGCTGGTTCACGAGGCTACCGAACGCTTCCATAGACTCCTTCAGTGAGTTGACATCCCAATTCACTCTCCAGTTCGCAACGAGCAAACCTTATAGGACGACCTCCCTGGCCTTGGCGGGGGTCCGTTAGGAGAAGAAGGAGAATCTAAGAAATTTCATGGACAGGTTCAATAAAATCGCAATGGAGATCGGAGATCTTAATCCCGCCGTGGCGTTGGATAGGTTAAGCACAGCCCTCAGACCGGGGCCGTTTGTTAACAGCTTGTGTAAAAAGCCCCCAATTGACATGAACGACCTCCGGCGCCGGGCCGAGAAATACATGCAAATGGAAGAACTTCTCGAGACCCGAAACCAGGCTAGGGCAGAAGAAAACTATAACCGAAAGGAAGCTGGCCGAGAGCCAGTACGCCCAGCAAACGCCGAACTCTCGAAGAATCGCCCCCCAAGAGGACCTCGATATACGGCATATACACCACTCAACGCGAGTAGGACCAAAGTGATGGAGCAGGCTTTAGCGTCCGAGATCCTTGCAATGCCGAAAAGGGCAAACACACCCCCAAGGGCCGACAAGGCCAAGGTGTGCCGATTCCATCGAAACAGGGGGCACTCTACTGAAGAATGTTCGGCGTTAAAGGACAAGCTCGAGGACCTCATTAAGCAGGGCCACCTTCGAAGTTTCACCACCCCCCATGACCATCGGTCGAAGGAGAGAGACCAATCTCGCGAAGCTCGCTCTTCGAGGGACCGACGTCACCCATCCCGTTCGGTCGAGCGGTCAGATCGGTCACAACGTCCTGGGGAAAACAATGACCGATCCCGGAAGGTAATCAACACCATTGCCGGAGGTTTCGCAGGCGGAGGATCTTCCTCTTCAGCCCGAAAGCGACACCTCCGAGTCGTCCGATCGGTGAACAACGTGAACCAGCCCAGGTTGCCGAGGATGTCGTCCATCACATTTTCTGACCGTGATTTTCGAGGCGTCGACCCCATACAGGATGATCCCATGGTAATCTCAGTCGAAATGCACAACTGCATAGTGAAGAAAACATTGGTTGACCAAGGGAGCTCGACCGATATATTGTATTGGAACACTTTCTTACAACTCGGGATTCCAGAAGAGAGCCTAGAGTCATATCACGAGCCGTTAGTGGGGTTTTCCGGAGAAAGAGTCATGACGAGGGGATGCATCGAATTGTACACACGTTTCGGTTTCGATCAAAAGCTTTCACGGGAAATCAAGATCCGTTACATTGTCGTACATGCGAGCACGTCCTACAATGTCCTACTCGGCTGACCCTCCATCAACGCCCTCCGGGCCATTGTCTCGACCCCCCACTTGTGCATGAAATTCCCATCAAGAGACGGACAAATAGTGACCGTCCACGCCGACCAGAAAACAGCAAGAGAATGCTACCTCTCCAGCCTCAAAATGCACCCCATGCCCGACCCACCCCCAGCGTCCGGACGTGTGAACGTGATCGGACAAATGCCAGAGGGCCTAGATCTCGATCCGCGCCTGGGGGAGGAAGACCGAATCGAACCAGCTGAAGACCTTGTCCCCGTCCAACTTGGACAAACACCCGGGCAGGTCACACATATGGGATCCCAACTGAACGAAAATGAGTTGAACCAGGTGAAACGAACAGTAAGAGACAACAGGGACTTGTTCGCATGGCACGCGTCGGACATGCCGGGGATAGATCCTAAGTTCCTGTGTCACCGACTAGCCGTTTGCCGAGACGCTCGGCCGATCGCACAAAAGAAGCGAAAGATGGGAGACGAAAAAAGAAAGGCGGCCGACGCCGAGGTGAAGAAGCTGTTGCATGCCAGGTTCATTCGAGAGGTCACTTATACGACTTGGCTAGCTAACATAGTGTTAGTTAGGAAAGCCAATGGGAAGTGGAGGATGTGTACCGATTACACCGACCTCAACAAGGCCTGCCCCAAGGACGCCTACCCACTCCCATGTATCGACCGGTTAGTAGACGGAGCGTCTGGACATTCAATCTTCAGTTTCTTAGATGCTTATTCCGGTTACAATCAAATAAGGATGCACCTGGCCGATGAAGAGAAGATGGCTTTCATAACCGAGAGTGCAAATTTCTGCTACAAAGTCATGCCATTCGGCTTGAAAAATGCCAGAGCGACCTACCAGAGGCTAATGGACAAGGTGTTCAAGGGGCAAATGGGCCGAAACATCGAAATATATGTAGATGACATGGTGGTCAAGTCAAACTCTCTCGCCGAACACTTAGCCGACTTGGCCGAGATATTTGGTGAACTCCGCAAGCACAACATGAGACTCAACCCCGAGAAGTGTACGTTCGGGGTTAGGGGGGGCAAATTTTTAGGCTTCATGCTATCTGCAAGGGGCATAGAAGCGAACCGAGACAAATGCCAAGCAGTGTTAGATATGCGAAGTCCGACTAACCTCAAGGAATTGCAACGCCTGTCAGGACGACTAGTCGCCTTATCCCGATTTCTCCCACGGCTAGGTGACAAAATCAGCCCAATGACAAAGCTCTTGCGAAAGGCCTCGACCTTCTTGTGGGACGAACGATGCGAGACCGCGTTCGTAACGTTGAAGACGATGTTGGCGTCACCGCCGATTCTAAGAAGACCCGATCCCTTGACCCCTCTCTTAGTCTACCTGGCCGTGTCCGATGAAGCGATCAGCTCGGTTTTGGTGCAAGAGAAGGAAGGTGCCCAAGCACCCATATATTTTGTCAGCCGACTCCTCCAAGATGCCGAGACCCGATACCAGTTGATAGAAAAGGTCGCCCTCAGGTTAGTACACACCTCCCGACGCCTAAGGCACTATTTCCAAAGTCACCGAGTAGTCATGCACACCGACTGCCCGATTTCTAAAGTCCTAGGCAAACCCGAACTCGCCGGGCGAATGATGGCTTGGTCTGTGGAGCTCTCGCAATTTGATATCTCCTTCAGACCGAGAGGGCCGATTAAAGCTCAGTGCCTCGTCGACTTTGTGAACGAACTCCACCCCCGTGGCCAATTCGAAGAACAATGGTGGACCCTCCATGTAGACGGCTCGTCAAATGGCCGAGGAAGTGGGGCAGGCGTCATTTTAGAGGGACCCAGGGGGATAGTCTTGGAGCAATCCCTTCGCTTTCGGTTCAAGGCTTCCAACAACCAAGCCGAGTACGAGGCTCTATTGGCCGGACTGAGAGTAGCCGAGGACATGGGTGCCTCGAAAGTCAAATGCTTGACCGACTCTAAAGTTGTGGCCGAACAGGTCGGCGATAATTTCCAGGTTAAAGACCACATGATGCAGAAATATTACCACACCTATCAAAAGCTGAAGACAGGCTTTCAGGAGCTGTCGGTTGAACACATTCCACGTGAAAACAACACTCGGGCCGATCAATTGGCTAGGTTGGCCGCAACCAAAAAGCTAGGCCACTTGAGAACAATCATTCAGCAAGAGATCGACCACCCCAGTGTCGAGTCAGAAATGTTCGCGAACGTCGAATCCGAATGTGCCGAGTCGAACGACTCATCAGACTGGCGAACAGAAATCACAGCTTTTCTCGTCAATGGAATCACACCAACCGACCCAGCCGAGTCCAAGCGACTCCGAACCCAGGCCACCAGATACGTTGTCATCGGCGGACAGTTATACAGACGAGGGTTCTCCACCCCTCTACTTAAATGCCTAAACACCTCCGAAGCCGATTACGTGACGAGGGAGGTACACGAGGGGATATGCGGAATGCACTCAGGAGCTAGGACGACTGTAGCCAAACTCTTGCGAGCCGGATATTATTGGCCGACTATGAACACCGACTGCGCAACCTTTGTAAAAAAATGCCAATCGTGTCAAAGGCACGGCAACCTGATTCATCAACCGGCCGAACAGTTACATTGCATAGCTCCGGCATGGCCGTTCGCCACGTGGGGAGCCGACATACTCGGACCTTTCCCGGTTGCGAAGGGCCAGTGCAAGTTCCTCATCGTCGCAGTCGACCTCTTCACCAAATGGATCGAAGCCGAGCCGTTGGCATCCATCTCAGCCCATCAAGTCCAAAATTTTTTATGGCGGAATGTCATCACACGGTTCGGTATTCCACACACCCTGGTGACCGACAATGGTCTACAATTCACCGACCGAAGACAGAACGAGTTCTTAAAGGGTCTCGGCGTACAGCACAGGGTCACGTCGGTCGAGCATCCGCAAACGAACGGCCAGGCCGAGTCGGCCAACAAAGTCATCCTAGCAGAACTAAAGAAACGACTCGGAGAAGCAAAGGGAACATGGGCCGAACAGTTACCCGAGGTATTGTGGGCCTACCGATGCACACCTCAGTCGACCACACAGGAAACTCCTTTTCGTCTAGTCTATGGATCGGATGCCATGATCCCAGTAGAAATCGGAGAACCCACATTCCGCCGAACCCATTTTGACGAGTCAAACAACAGCGCTGAGCTCTGCGCAAACCTAGACACCCTGGAGCACGTCCGAGATCGAGCACAGGTTGTAGCTGAGGCCACCAAACAACGTTATAAGAGAAGATTCGACAGCAAGGTGAAGCCGAGGGCATTCCGCGAAGGCGACCTTGTATGGAGAGCCACAGGCGAGGCGAGAAAAGAGCCGAGACACGGAAAACTTGCCCCAAACTGGGACGGTCCTTTCCGAATCCGACACAACTTGAACAACGGCGCCTACAAGCTTGAATACTTATCAGGAGAGCCAATTCCGAGAACATGGAATTCCACTCATTTGAAAGTGTATTACAGCTGATGTAAACAGTGCACTCTTTTCCTTGACCAACTCTTTTTTCCCTAAGGAGGGTTTTGGGTCGGCAAGGTTTTTAACGAGGCACTTCATTAATAAAAAGAATTTCATGTTTTTTGTCTAGGATCGAACATTCTACCAGGCGTCTAATACGAAAAGGGGAACAGCCGAATGTCCCGAACAACCGAACGCTCTAATGCACCGACTAGTTAAAATATTTTAATTGAATTCAAGGTTTCCCTCCCGAGTACCCTCCTCGGCCAAGGATGTACCTAAGTCGAACGTCGCGTACGAGCACAAGACGCCGAGCAATCCTCGGCCGACCACCTTGACTCGCGCTCGCGCCGAATAGGTTTCCCTCCCGAGTACCCTCCTCGGCCAAGGATGTACCTAAGTTGAACGTCGTGTACGAGCACAAGACACCGAGCAATCATCGGCCGACTACTTTAACGCGTGCTCAGGCCGAATAGGTTTCCCTCCCGAGTACCATCCTCGGCCAAGGATGTACCTAAGTCGAACGTCGCGTACGAGCACAAGACGCCGAGCAATCCTCGGCCGACCACTTTAACGCGTGCTCGCGCCGAATAGGTTTCCCTCCCGAGTACCCTCATCGGCCAAGGATGAACCTAAGTTGAACTTCGTGTACGAGCACAAGACGCCGAGCAATCCTCGGCCGACCACTTTAACGCGTGCTCGCGCCGAATAGGTTTCCCTCCCGAGTACCCTCCTCGGCCAAGGATGTACCTAAGTTGAACGTCGTGTACGAGCACAAGACGCCGAGCAATCCTCGGCCGACTACTTTAACGCGTGCTCGGGCCGAATAGGTTTCCCTCCCGAGTACCCTCCTCGGCCAAGGATGTACCTAAGTTGAACGTCGTGTACGAGCACAAGACGCCGAGCAATCCTCGGCCGACTACTTTAACGCGTGCTCGGGCCGAATAGGTTTCCCTCCCGAGTACCCTCATCGGCCAAGGATGTACCTAAGTTGAACTTCGTGTACGAGCACAAGACGCCGAGCAATCTTCGGTCGACCACTTTATCGCGTGCTCCCGCCGAATAGGTTTCCCTCCCGAGTACCCTCCTCAGCCAAGGATGTACCTAAGTTGAACGTCGTGTACGAGCACAAGACGCCGAGCAATCCTCAACTGACCACTCCAACATGCACTCGCGCTCATCGGGCTTCCCTCCCGTACAACTTCTTCGGCAAAGGATACGATTGCTCGGCACCGAACTTCTGTTGACCGAATGCCCCGACGCGTTCTCACGACTATTACAATGCTTAAACCACATATTTAAATCGAACATAGGCATACCGAACAACTCATACGGATAAACCGAACACTCTCAGTTTTAATACTTACGCGCCTTACTACGTATCAGAATCGCAACATAGACACACTCGGTCGAGTTAAGGTCGGTTCATTTAACTTAGATTTTTTATAAACAAGTAATAAAAGGAAATTCCATTAATGAAGGCTGAACAAAACGGCTACTTACACAAAAAATATATATAAGTTCAATTCATCGACACCAAAGGTCGA